TTGCTCCTTTCAAGAGAGTGTGTAAGAATTTGAACGGAAGCTTGCTTTGTTAAATGGTAGGAGTTTGCTCTGAAGCGTTAAAGGATAACAAGTCCTTGCTTGGTCATTAAAGCAGTCTCTGCAGAGAGAAATGTGTGCTACAGGAAGTGGGCGAACTGCAAACACATTTGAGGTGATTATAGTGTGTGTGCGCCTCGAGGGAGCGCTGGATTACACCATACCTGAGCCCAGAGCCCGTCACAGAGGTGGCAGAGCTGCCTACCATAGGGCCGCTGGATTATTGAGGTCGCCCCTGTTTTTCAGCAGGATTACTGCCTGAAATTCACCGCTAACATACTTTCCGGGTTATATAACATCGACACAGGGTATTTGTTGGAATTGCATCATAAATGTGGTTATTATCGTAGGTGGACCTCCCTGTACCTGCTTTAGGTTTCCCCAAAATCCCAACAAATACATGACAATCTGTTGAAGAGGGAAATTTCCAGAGTGAATTTGAGAAAAGCTGGGTTTGACACAGTTGACTTTAGTTAGTTTCAATTTATTATTATTATTATTATTATATAGATTTTTATTAAATGTAGAGTACAGCATGTGAATGCAAAAGCATTGGGAAAAAAAAAATATATATATATTTATTTTTTTATATTATATTTAATAATAAATAAATATAAATACTCCGCTTGTTCTAGCCGGGTCTATGTTTTTTTTAATTGTTCACTGAGCTAATCGTAGAGTACGTTAGTTAATATAAGAAGAAATGTCTAGCTTCGCGGTCTCTCTCTCATTTGGATGCACGTCTTGCCGCATTGTTTCTCTCTTATAACCTCATTATTTCTCACTAATAACCTAACTGAAGCAGCACATGCCCTTGATACGAATTCTAAAAGTGACGTATATATGTTTAACTGTCAACTTGAGCTTTGAATCCGTGGCGGAAGGAAGTAGTTCCGTATATGTGTGTATTTATTTTTTTGTTTATAAATCACCACCCTTTTGGCTCTCCATAGAATTGCACCCAGACCTGGGTTTTGTAGTTTCACCTTTGTAGTTTTTCTGATTCATTTTAGTTTTTGTAATTTTTCACTCTATTCTTTTCTTTTATTTTACTTGTTTGTTTTCTGGTTTCAAGTTTTAATTTATTTTTGTATCAAAATTAATCTGTTGCTTCTTTATTTAAATAATTTTTACAGTCATGACAATATATTTTGTTTGAACTTTGTTTTTTTTCTCCAATTACTATGGTTTATTTCAACAAAAATGTTTACATGTATTTTTCATTGCGGCGCAGGATTACTAAAGAGTTCAGTACTTACAGAGTGGTTGTTCTGCTCAGTAATAACTAAACATAACCATATATGGTTATGAATATATACATAAACATAAATATATTATTATAGCATAAATACACTATACGTACATATTTAGCACTCTAAAATGGGGCTGACAGAATATTCTACTGAATTGCGAGCGTAATCGATGAGTTTTTTTTTTTTACTCTGTATAATTTCTGTATAGATCTGATCCTTTTATTTTCCCGTCCTTGTACGAATCTCTTGTATTTGATGGAAAGCATGTGGAGGTGATTTGTGTGTTTCCGAGAAGCATGTGTCGGCCTTGGTCTCAACAAACACGATTGTGCACTTGATTGCCAAGAATTAATTAGAGTCTAGAGGACTCGTTCGGCTATTAACAGTGGCTTTTTTCAATCGTTTGCCACTGTTATGTTCCTGTTAAGAGTTTGCTAAATCTGTTACAAGTGGCTCTTCAACGTCAACATAATTGCTTCACATCCTCACAGTCCAGCAACAAGAGCGCATGCAGACACTTTAGCATGGATGGTAATACATAGAGCCACATTAGCAGCGGCTGCTCATTACTGTGATGCGTCTGTGCATCCACGTAATTGAAGAGGTCATGATCAACCTGTAAACACATGCAAGTGAATTGACAGATGCAGCAGCAGTCTTTTCCCAAGATTTTCACGAGATTTGGTTTGCCATCCATGTCAGGCAATTTGCATATTGTAGATTAGCAAAATGCAAAATGTTACACTTCTGTATGAGGCTGTGATATATATATATATATATATATATAAATACATTTTTGCTTTGGTACATTTTTCTTTTTCTCTTTGCAAGTCTCTTATGCTCATCAAGTATGCATTTATTAGATTTTTTTAAGTAAAAAATGTAATATTATGAAATAATGCATTTTAAAATAACTATTTAATATTTTAATATTTCTTTAAAAGTGTATTTTTTTTCCTTTGGTTAAGCTAATTTTTCTAATTTTAATATATATAGAATTTATATTAAGAAAAATGTATTATATATCATTTTAATTTTTATACATAAAGCATGCTGCTTAACATTTTGTGTAAACATGATAGTGTATTTATCTATTTATTTGTAAATAGAGAGTTCAAAATACAGCATTTATTTTAAATGGAAATATGTTGTAACTTTATAAATGTCTTTACAATCACTTTTGATGTGTCCTTGCTGAATAAAATTATAGTGTTTATTTTAAGTTGTTTATATTAGTGTATATTATGTGTTTTTTTTTTTTTTTGGTAAAATGGGTTTTTAAGACTGACATTGTTAAAATTATTACAACTTCTAAAGACACGCCTTTAGCTTCGGTTTGGGGTCAGATGAACTTAAAAGCAGCCTAATTAAACAGGGTTTCTCTAAGACATTTGGTTGACTAGTCGATTTTGAAATGAAGTAGTTTTTCACACCCTTATGATGAGGTTGTACACTTCCTTTTGAATTTAGTTGCTCTGTGGTAACGCTGAGAACCCCTGGCAGTGCCGGGGCAAAGCGTTACGCTGGCTCACCTCGCTTTACTAAAAACACCCTACTGAAGGCCTGTCAGATTGATGTTCAGAAAAGATTTTTCTGTTTCCCTCATTTTTCCCCCTCGTAAGCTACGGTTATACGATTCACTTTGACGTGAGCTAAAGCCTCTCTAAATGTCATGTGTTGATTTTATGGCGATAAGTGATGGCCAAAGACAACCCCGCATGTTGTTGTGCTGTTAAATGATCTCTGTAGCAGGTTGCTCTGGCTAAATCTGCCATTTATTGCTCTCAACTGTATTTAAAGCATTTTTCCATCCTCGCTGCTGGGCGAGAGGCAGTCCAATAGTCCCGGATAATTTATCAGGCTCAAAGAATTAAGTAAGCTACATGGCGGCAATGAATTGTTCTATTACTCTTCACGCTGTCCGCTCCTATTATCTTTCCGCTTTGCTGTAATCCTGCCTATTTTTGGCCCTCTACTTTATGCCGAGTTGAGTTTGACAGCCGTCCTCTCTCGCTCTAAAGCACGAGTGGGTATCCAGTGTGTAGGCCGGTGACTCGCTGGCAGAGACGAGCGTTTCATCACATGCTAATTGAGCAATAGATGCCGATGATAAGTGCCTGCTTACGGCTGCGTCTGCTACATTCACCTGTCTCCTCCATTAGAGACTGGTCTCTCTTGCTTCTACATCAGCACAGAATCACAGGAGTGGGCCTTTATTTTCCTCCATTAGCCATGTTTGTGTGCTTGTCCCGGTTATCTCAATCTGTCCTCTGACTGTCCTTCTCTGCGACCTGTGTTGCAGATATTTAGCTTGCTCTTTAGGTACAACATAATTTGATCCAATTTGAGTTCAGTTCTGATGCATTTTCACTACCGGTCAAAAGTTTGGAATAATTGTATATTTACAATTAATTGCTCATGAATAATGATTTTTTTGTTTGTTTTTTACACAAAAGCTGCATTCATTTGATCAAAAATAAAGTAAAACATAGTGTGAAATATTGTTATAGTCTAAAATAACAAGCATATTGTAATGAATTCTGAAGGATCATGTGACACTAAAGACTGGAGTAATGATGCTGAAAATTCAGTTTTGCATTACAGTAATAAATGATGTTATATTAAAATAGAAAAGTTATTTTAAATTGTAATATTATTTATTATTACTGTTATTTTTAATGTATTTTTGATTAAATAAATCCAACATTGTTGAGCATGAGATTTTTTTTTTTTAAATCCCAAAATTTGACCGATAGTGTAGGTTCTTTCTGACCTGTCAGTACAATTAGTATAAGAAAGTTCAATAACCTGTTTTTTTTTTTTTTT